GTTTCGTGTGATCCTAACACCGCTGTGACTAGTCTATGTGCTATAATGTGGATGGATTGGTAACACCACATGATGATGTTACGGTCACATTGAGAAGTTTCTCGTGATGCTTAATACTCATAAGATTCTCATGGATTTGATTTCTGTTTTCTCTGTTTCATGAACTGCATTTTGTTATATAACTTGCAGATTGGGCAGCTATCTACTATTCCCCCAAAGCAAAGAACCCCAGAAGCAGTTCAAGCATACATTAGGCGCAAGAGAAACTTGCCCCATGAGGCATTCAAAGGAGGCTTCATTCTAGAAAAAATTGCCAACCCAATTTCTAAAGGTGACCTTAGCTTGGTCAACACTAATGTTGATGATAACCCCTCTGTCACCTTCAATTACTTCAGCCACCCGTACGATCTTCAACGCTGTGTTGATGGAATCCGTGTAGCCACGAAGGTTGTGCAATCAGAGCATTTCACAAACTACACAAGATGTAACAAGCAAACTGTGGACAAGGTGCTTAACAGTAGTGTCGAGGCTAATGTCAACCTCATCCCTAAGCATACCAATGACACAAAGTCCTTGGAGCAGTTCTGCAAAGACACTGTGATCACTATTTGGCACTACCATGGAGGTGCTCATGTAGGCACTGTGGTTAGCCCTCAGCACAAAGTTCTTGGTGTAGACAGGGTCCGGGTTGTCGATAGCTCAACATTTTCTGAATCCCCAGGGACTAATCCTCAAGCCACTGTCATGATGATGGGCAGGTATGTATACATATGATCATATGAACAATCATGTTTGGGTGGAATTGCCTCCCCCTTCTTAGAAAGAAAATAAGTGAAAATTGAAATTAATTTGCTATGTGTTGTTTGATATGCAGGTACTTTGGAGCGAAGATCTTGAGAAAGAGATTGGGAAGAGCAGCTGGTATATAATGTAAGGAAATAAGGCCTAGTAGTCAGCAGGATGAGAGCAACCGAGGGTTAGTTGAAACAGGGTGTGATGTAATTTTAGTTGTTTTGATTCTTAGCAAGCTCTAATGTGTAAAAAAATTGGCTTGCCGTGTGAAAATACATTTTATTCTATTATTAAATATTATCTCTTAGTCTTTAATCTCAACTACTTTTCTCCCAAGAAAAAAAAAAAGAACAAATACCTTCTGCTTGTTTAACCAAGAAAATTAAATTTATTTTGAGTGGTTTTATTGTTATTAAAAAGAAAAATATATTAAGTTATATACCCATTTGTTGAGGCCCAAAAAAATCCAAGGCTGTGCCCAAATATATTTCCGGCCCAGTACAACACTAAGCGGAAAATCCTTACATAAGCAACATGCCACGCTACAAGCGTAAGGGCTCATTTGGTACATCGGATTGTACTGATGGTACTGCACCGGATAAATAATCTGACTAAATTATACAAGATACTGTGTTTTAGGGGTGGCATTTTAAACCGAAAAATCGCAAAACCAACCGACAATTTACCGCAATGAAACTGCAATCGCAGTAAACCGAACCGCATTTGCGGTATTAAGAACCAAACCGCATTTGCGGTTGCAGTTGCAGTATTTGATTTTCAAAACTTGCGGTTACCGCAAACCGCAAAGTATAACCGCACGGATGATGAGGTTGAATTCTACATAGAAATAGAACATATGACAACTTATAAGTAATTAGTTTATTTATGCTAATGTTATTTATGCTTCTTATAATAAAATGTACTAAACTATGTTGTTTTATTTGTAAATAACATTGGTGCTCAAACAACACAACGAGATTTTTCAAATTCACTCACCACCAACACTTGAGTTTGTAACTTTAGTTTGTAACATTGGTGTATTGCATTTTCCTTTTAGTTTGTAACTTTAATTAACTTTGAATTGGATTGGATTTTTGGTTGTAACTTTAATTCATTTTGCTTTGCATTTTTCTTTTGGTTTGTAACTTTAAAAGATTTGGAATTGGAATACTTGAGAAGTTTAACTTTAATTGGAATGCTTGGAATTGTAACTTTAATTTTCTTAGGTTGTGAATGCTTGAGAAGTTGAGGAGATTGTGAATTTATATATGCTTGAGAAATTGAGGTTGTATATTTATTTATTTAAGTTGTGAATTTATATTTTTGTGAATGCTTGAGAACTTGCAGTTTTAAACCGCAAAACGCGGTTGGTTTGCGGTTTCAAAAATCACTAAACCGCAAATAGTCAGTCGGTTTGCGGTTTGAGTAAAAATTCACGGTTACCGAACCGCAACCACCCCTACTGTGTTTGGTGCTCCGTTGGATAACAATGAATCGAACTCCATAAATTTTAAAAAAAAAAAAAAAAGTAACTCAGTTTAATTTAATCGAGGTGTATTGACATCCTATACCTGCAACGTACAATGCTAGATTTACCACGCACCAAAAAAAAAATTTGAAACTACAATGCGATTCTATATCATCAATTGAATCTGCAATGCCATTCCATCATTAAGTATGTATACAATTATGTTTCGCTAAGGAGGGCCTATCCTGTCGATTGTGAGCATAGAACCACAACCAAGAACCATAGAAATTAATGTTTCTCTGTTATCAATAATTCAACCCAAGAACAGAAATCCAATTTTTGAACCTCTACTATCAAATTCACCAAATTCTACTATAAGGTCTTTTGCTTCAGGCCTCTTTATTTTTTTCAATCGTAGTCCATCCCCAAATCTTCTCAACACATCCAACCCCCAATCTGGAACATGAGCAGCCCACACCCACACTCTACCAAATCTATAAAGAAAAATCTATCAATTTGTGTAGCAAATAATTTCCTACACAATCGAATATCCAAATATGTATTTCTTTAACACTGAACAACGCATACTTGAAACTAAGATGGGCATCAATCAAAACTAAAAGGAAACCAAATTGTGAGAATCTGTGGTTGAAGAGGAAGGGACTTGATTGAGTCTATGTCTATGGTACAACGGATTATTTCGTTAATTAGGTGCTGGAGGAAGAGCCGACCTGCTGGGGTTAGAGGTTCATCGGAGTAGTCATTAGCTGTTGATCAACCCATGTGTGTGTGTGTGAGAGAGAGAGAGAGAGAGAGAGAGAGAGAGAGAGAGATCTGAGGAGAAGATAGCAAAGTAGAAATGTAGAGCGTTTTTTTTTTCCTAATCTTATAATTAAGTGTGTATTATCTAAACCGGGGTGTGTGGGTTGTATTAGTTAGTCGGGTAAAGAGAGTATTAAAAACCTAATCCATTTAATATAGTCTGGTAATTAAATAATACAAGTTGACACCAAACAACTGACATGGACTATTTACTCATATTCAGAGTCTAATACGATGTACCAAACATACTCTAAGTGGACCCAAGCCACGCGAATGCCTTGGGCTTGCTGATCATGTTGTGGTATGGATGGTTACAAGCATTCACGAGGCCCATTGATGGGCCAAGAAGTGGAAGTTTTGGGCTGCTTGGGAGCGCTAAAACTCGAGCTCATTTCTTGAGCCCAAACATATAGGTAAGTCTGAGAGAGAAGGAGTGGCCCAATAGCTTAAGAAAATATCCAATGGCTTGCAAACACTTGGAGAAATCCCACATCAACCAAAATATCCAGCACCTTGATCAAATATGTTGTTTCTAGCAGCCTTAGCAAACTCACAGGCCGCTGGAAACAAAATACCAATAGCTCAGCCCAGCATCGTGGAAAATATCCAACATATTTGTCAAAACCATCAAAACCAAGCAAACCCATGTGCAGATCACCTTTTTTGACTAGCACCCTTACTCATTCTTTCCTCTTCAAGCTTTGGTAAGAAAACAAGAAACAAAAATGGGTGGCTCCTCACCCACATGGAGAAGTCCAACTGCCTGAGGACCTTGGAACTCCAAAAAGCTTCATGCCTACATGCTCAGGCTAGGAAAGTTTAACCAAATAAGATGGAATGGAAGAAAATGAATGAAAAGGGGAGATGGTGGCTTGATAAAATTAAGGTTTTCAGTTATTATAAAAGAAGCCACTTTCTACCCAACAAAGACAACTCACCTTAGTTGCTGCAAGCCTCCTAGCAACCATGAGAATTCATTAAAGGCAAGCATCCCCTCTGGAACCCTTCAATTTCATGCTTTGTTCTTCCATCTTCCTCTTTTCTCTCTTTCAAAACCCACATCTAGAAAGAGCAAGCACCATCTCTCATCTCTGGAACCTTTCGATTTCAAGTCTTGTTCTTCCATTGCTTCCTATTTTCTCTTTTGTCAAATCACCCAGGAGCTTGACGAAGCTTTTGTCAAGCTGCTGGAAATATGCTAAAGTCACCCATGCTTCCATCTTCTTCCTCTCTTTCCATAAACACACATCCAGAGAGCAATCATCATCTCTCATCCCTGAAACCTTGTAATTTCGAGTCATATTCCTCCATCTCCTCCCATCGTCTCTTCTGGAAATCACAGCTCTTTCTCTCTCTCATGCTAAACTTGTGAATGCTCAGCTCCCTTGCCACAAGCTTCTTATGTCAAGCCAAGAATTTATCTGTAAGCGACTGTTGGTTTTATTGGTGAAGAAGACCAAAGTGTTTCCTAAGGCTCAGCTACCCTTTCGAAACACTCTTGGGGCCTGATCTTTGAACTCAGACACAGGGGCAGCTTCACCTGTTTCTTTTTTTCGACAGCCCAAGCCCATTCGTCAGGCTGCTAGAATAAAAAGACCCCTACACCATTCTTAGCATTAATGATATAGATAAACCCTGCACTACTTAATTTCTATAAACAAACCCAAAAAATGACATTTGGTCATATTAAATTTAATTTTGATTATTAAATTACTTTGATGCCCTATCGAGTGTTTCGGGGTTTTTTATGAGGTTTTGGCGTTGGACTTGTTTTAAGAAATCGATGGCAGTTTTGTAATAGAAAGTTTGAAGCATCTTTGTTATGTTGTAAACGGGCTTTGGGTATGTTTGTAAAGTCATTTCATGTAGGTTTTTCTAAAATTTGAGCCCCTATATTGGGTATAATAGTGAATCTCCCTAAAAATAAACCCTTTCTTCATATTTCTTTGCCCCCTTTTTCTTGGAATATCACCCTTCCATTACTAATGGTAAATCTATTTATGCCTCAAACCCTTTCGGGAGGTGCACTTTAAATGAAAAGAAGATACAACAAACACCAGTTTATGTGGCTTCAGAGCCATAATTTCATTGGAACTCCACGTTCACTCATGCTGCCTCTAGACAGACTTCTTAGTCTCTGCCAAAACTGCTTCCTCTTCCCCGTCCTCAGTGGCCCTGAACTAGAGTACCTCCTAAAAGACCCAAACTCCTGCCCCTCAACCTCAAGTCCCACAGGTGCACTTAAAAGATCTGATGTTGATGGTATCTTGGTGCCATGGCCAGCACCAAACCCCGGCAGCTCCTGCTCCTGCAGTGATTGTGAGACTTCCAAGTTGCCACTATCTATATGAATGAAGAGATCATCTTGGCCACAACTTGTTGAAGCTCCTACTTCTTGTGTTTCTTTGAACTCGTTGCATACTAGCTTTAAGGCCTGCACAACCTCGCCCATGAAAGGCCGGTGAGATACTTCTGGTTGTATACACATTGAAGCAATTGCTGCTACCTTGGTCACACTATCCCATGAGATATCGGATGGCTTTAAGGCTGGGTCTATTATCATTTCTAGCCCCTCCTTGCTTGTGAGGAGCGGGCGAGCCCAAGCAACAAGGTTTTCTTGGCCTGGAGGTTGTGACAGGTCCACAGGTTTTCTCCCTGATAGAAGCTCAAGAAGGACTACACCATAGCTGTAAACGTCACTTTTCACTAAGAGATGGCCGGTCATTGCATACTCCGGAGCTAAATAACTGGAGCAAGAAACAAGATAGAGCGTGTTTATGTTAAACTAATAAGTTGCCATATTTATGTACAACTTGGACCACACAATTCCATTAAGAATTCATTATATCACTGGTTTTTAGACAACAGTCTGGCAACATAACATATCAAAAATGTCTGGCAAAAGTATTACTTGTATATATGCACGCACACACACACACACACACACACACACACACACACACACACACACACACACACACACACACACACACACACACACACCTTCTAACGCCGCTCTAGCCAATCCAAAATCTGAAACTTTGGGTGTACAATCATATTCCAACAAGATATTGCTAGCCTTGAAATCACGATGTATTACGCGAGGATTTGAGTCTTCATGGAGATAAGCTAAGCCCCTAGCTGCACCCAGGGCAATCTTTATTCTGGCATCCCAATCAAGCGGATCAGTTTCCTTGTCAATGCCTGAAAGAACACAAGAATAAGCCACTCATAATTCAAAGCCATGTCCAATCATTTAAGCAACTAAATATCTAGCATTTCAACCAAACAAATGTTGAAGTATTGATGTAGAAATTAATTTTTTAAAACTTGTATCTACCATGTAAATGGGATTCAACACTCCCATTTGGAACAAGTTCATAGACTAGGCAGCGAGTATGGCCCTCAGTACAGATACCAATCAATTTAACCAAATTTCTATGGTGAAGACGGCTTAGCATCTCAACTTCCGCCAAGAATTCACGGCTACCATGATGATCTTCTCTCTTGAGAACCTTCACTGCCACCTCTCTTCCATCATCCAAAATGCCACTGTAAACAAGCCCAAAACCACCTTCTCCAAGTATTCTTGAAGCATCAAAATTATTAGTGGCTCTCTCCATGTCGTTCAAAGTGAAGGTTTTAGCAGATCCAGTATAATTCAGTGTGCCAGAACTCAAGGATGTTGATCCAGAACCACGCATGCTTCCGAACATCACCGACCTCGGAGGCCCTGTTGAGTAGATTTTGTTAATATTCTGGAGTAACTTGGAAGAGTTCCAACTGTACTATGAATGAATAATGACTAAAAATGAAAGGAACTTCCATTAACATCTCGCTATAGATTATATATAGTTGTGCAACATGCTCAAAATAAAATTAATGTTATAAGCTTGTTGTGAGTAAACTGCCTTAAGGTCAGGGAGAATTTGGCTGCATTTCAAAATACCTGAGAGTTTTCTAGGAGAGGATGTCAAAGTTTGTGGAAACTTTTCCAGTTGACGTGAGTGACATGGTCCACATTTCAGCAACAAAAGCCAAACAACTCCGACACATAAAAGAAAGGCTGTGAAAGATGATACAACAATCACAGCAATCATACTTTTTCCGAGCCCATCTCTTTTTCTCCTTGGTACATCAACTCCAAGAGGTTTTATTGCCCTTCCATTGTTGTCTTTTCCAGTGTATGGCCCGTCATCTGTAGTAGAAATGCTTGAGGATGCTGAAGGGGGAGAAGGTGGAAGACCTGGATAGTGAACATAGAAAACTTCATAATCTCCAAAGAGGGAAGGCTTTATGGAAACCTGTCTGCGCCAGAACTTTTCATAGATTTGGAATGCAGTAGTGCCATCAAATGTTATTCCTGTAGGTACCAAGTTAATGAGGACAGCGCTTTTTTCTAGCTGCTGACTGACCGCATCTGCTCCCATAATTCGAACTTGGCTATGGTTTAGTGCCACACTGGCTGCAATTTCTTCAGCCAGCTCTGAAACTAAAGGGAAGAATGTGTATATTGCAACACCTAGTTGGAGTTGAACTTGAATTGGCCGCACACAACCGCAGCTTGAGCCAAGAGGTGTATATGTTAATGGCTCTGTGCAAGTGATTGATGAACAATCTACCGCATGTTTAAGCACAGTTACTATTTTTTGAAGATAAAAAATTGTGAACTATTTTCAAATAAAATAGAAAGGCAGAGTACATACCTTCACTGGGAGGTGGAGGTGGTAGTGCCAGAATTGGTGATGGTGGTGGGGCCTTCGTATTCTTCAGGGAAGATCCCACTGGAGAAACTGTAGGTGGAAAAACAGGCACTAGAAGAGACGAAAAAAATCACAACTTAATTCAAATCATAGTTAGGTAGATAAAGTAAGTACACTGTGGTTAAAGCTACCAAACTGAAATGAGGCTTCCATACTATTATAGTGGCTTGTGAGAGTTGTTGGTGATGGTGCAGCTGCAGCCCAGCTACTTGTTGAAGAGAAGGGGGAGTGAATGGGGGAGACTGCAGGGCCTATACATTTCATAAATATTCTTCAGATAAATACATTTCATGAATGAACTGTACATCTATTGGTAAGACAAACGCCAAAGTTTTGAACCTTGTCGACTGTAAGTTGGTTCTGGAGCAGAGCTGTGGAACTTTTTGCTTTTGTGGTGATGCTTGTGATGTGAAATTGAAGGAGAAGATATAGGACCATGCACCCATTTCTTTGCAGGACCTTCAGAGGATGTAGGTGGAGCTGCAATACTTGAGGGCCATATGGCACTATGAGGATGGGTGGCTATAAAAAGAAAAGAATCTGAATTAGTAATAGGAACAGGCACATTTTTTTCATTTGCTAGTTCATAGTTGGCAAATAAAACTACTTTTAGACTCCATTACCTTTATCTGGGGAGTAGTCTGAAGGCAATACGTGGTGGAATGCTTTTCTGGGAGGTAGTGCTACTAACTTTTTGTGTATTTTCCAGCCAAAGCTGAGAGGAGATTTAGGAGAGACGGCATGTTCTGTAGCATACAAACACATCCATTCAGAAAATAATTGCTCATAACTAGTTCTGAGGAGAGAGCAAAACAGCTATCTAACGTATCAGAAAACAGCTATTTAACTTATCATGTTGCTATTTCTCTTCCTATGAACTTTCTAGTTATCTACTTCGCACTTGGGACACAAGTTTGTCAGCTTACTCTAATTATCTACTACATTGTAGTTGACAAACTGGTGTCCCTTATGGGTAGGCAACCATGAAAGGGACCATGCTTCTGACGGCAGAATACTGAGCGAGTGGCTCTCAGAGTGCAATTTTGAAGTTACAATATTGACATTTATTTCAGCTGGAAAGGTGTAATTCACAATGTTGATCAATTCTTCACCTTTTATGAAAAGACTAAACTGAGAAATATTTCGGTGCTTCAGGAATCCTGTCACATTTGAGCAATAACTCTTACTGCTCAGAAGTTAGAATAAGCAAGTACAGTAAGGAACTGCTCAGGGCAAGTTATTGAAATCATGCACCCTTACTCACTACATAATTTTTGTCATTTTCGAAATTAAAAATCACCAGAAAATGACCTGCAGGAATGTGGCCCAAGGTTTCAGATCAAACTGATGAACTTCCAAGCTCAAAGAACAGAGTTATGAAAACCAAACACCATTGCAAGTGATCCAATTGATCGTTTGTGATCCATGATCACTTGCGAAGGAAATGATATGATAGAAAGAAAAACATTGAAACGTGAGGACCATTTTCCCTATTTCTTGATCACAGAAACACTTGCTTCAGAGAACCCAGATCCTCAAATTGGTTAAAAATTTAAATTAATGAAGAGATCATATTGTACTTGATCAAATATATTGAAGTATAAAAAAACCAAACCAGACACTAAAAATTCAAACTTGTTACCTGCAGATCCGCGGAATGGCAAGACACCAACAATCAAACACATTTGCACAAGCAGCAGATTCAGTTGCATGCCCATTTCATTAGCAGAGTCAGAGAAGGTGGAGCTCAATTCTCAAGATCTCAGCTCTCATCATTCAACCACAGAAGTGAGGAGCAGACAAGGCAGAGAGAACAAACTGGCACAAGAGCGCCCTGAACCAAAGCATGGCCTTTAATGAAGCAACCTCATGGTAAGTTTAGAGGTACAGAGGCAGACCCACATATAGTACCAAAGAAGTAATGAGAGGCATTTTGAGTGAAACAAGAAGAATGGATTAGGTGGGAAAAACCCAATCGCTGTCTTTTAGAGACTAATAAGCTGTTGAATTTGGAAAGCTTAGAGAGTTCTAGTGGAATTGTCCTTTTTGTCATGGGAGTGATTAAAGGTTGCGGCAACTGATCAAGCAAAAAGCAGCACACAGTCCACTTAAAAGCAGTATAAGTCCAAATTAGAAACTTTTCTGTAAGATAGTAGGTGGAACACAAATAGAGGAGAGAGAGAGAGAGAGAGAGAGAGAGAGATCCAAGATTAATAAAATTTTATTATATGGTTTGAAAAGCATGGAAGACACTGCATTCTTTTAATCTAATGTGGATATTCTTGATTTCTTTTCAACTAATTGAGGGCAATTATTATTCCTCATCAGTTTCATTCAGGTTTGAAATATGAATGTGGTATGCAAAGGAATATGCTTGTTATGTCAAAGTTCCACTTCCAATAGCGATTTGTTTTGTGTGACCAATAGGCTATATTCTAGATTGCTAGTGCTTCAATGGTCATTGCAGAAGACGACCATGTAGTACAATGGAAAGTGTAGTATTTTCTTTATCGTGACATAACTAAATTGACAATCTAACAACTCAATATTCTTACAACAATATATTTAACGAGAGAACTTAACTCATGTCGTAAGCAGGTTCTATAGATTGACATATTGACATTAAAGTTTTGTTTTTTTTTTTTTGGTCAAGGTTAGTTGTTGTTTTGTGTGGATGGCAAGCAGAAGCTCATTCCATATCAAGTGTCATGGGACCAAAATTTGCACATGCAAATATTGTGCTTGTGATGTTGTGTGTTCAAGTTTATGTCCCAAAATACCCCACTCCACATGACTAATGTGGCAAATTTGCCCACGCTGCCAACATTTGACAATTCAATGCGACTAATGGGCTCTTATGAGAATGAAAATTTTCCAAGAATTTTCAACACCAAATTGAAATCCTAAACCAACAAAAAAGATGGTATCAGAAATATCTAAACACATTGGCATCTTCATGTACATAGCAAATAGATAGTGTTTCTATAAGCGACAAGCCTAAAAGATTTGGTAGTTGTTTAGGTACCATGTGCTGTGTTGGCCATGGCTGCCATATTTTCCCCTACATAATTGACCGTGCTTGCTATAATTGGCGTCAATCACTCACCAGATTTACAAGTCTCTCGTATATGTCGGTGGCATTGACTGCGGCAATTTTTTTTTGTCACTCCATTAAATCGAAGTAGTGTGATTGAAATTTACATCTTAAGATACAATTTTGATGACTGCACAACATCAACATGTCATATGACGTTACAATTATATAAAATATTTTCTCGGCAAATGCAACCGCATATACCAAGTCTCTCTATTTCTATCTAGCCTTGTCAATTGTGTTACCACCTCAATGATAATGGAACATATTTACACACTTTATGATATTGACATAGAAATTAATCAAATAGCTTTTTGTCGTCCATGATGCTTTGCTTACACCTCAATAAGACACTGTGATTGCTATTTCCATTTCCTAGTGGTTTGTCAAAATCAAACATAGATGAATGGACCCCTTCTTAGCATTAGCCATTAATATTTAATTTGCATTGACCCAAAAGTTCTTAAAGTATAATTAGTTCGTTTTGGATCGTTGGGCTGGTTTTAAACTTTTGTGTTGTTTTTTCTTGACTTGATGAGTTAGGTATTTTGTCATAGTGCACAAGGGAAGGGACATGTCGTCGGTTCGAGTTTGACCTCAAGTAAATTGCGAATTAATTAATGTAAATCAAGTGGGTTTTCTTCTTGGAAACCAATTGATTATGGGCTCAAATTGACCTGATCCAACCTTTTATTTTGGGCTGGGTTGATGTTTTACACTTTGAGTTTCAAACCCAATATGTATTTTTTTATTATAAATATGAGCACATCCTTTTGGGTTGAAGTGGAAAATTGTGTTAAAACGAGCAATACAACATTAGAGGTCTTGGAGGAGAAGAGGAAGGAGAAAGTTGTTTGGGTTAGAGTTTAAATGTCGAACAAATTGGATTTAAGATTAGTCAATGATCATTTTGTTTTGTGGTATTTAATTTATATTTTGTTGGAATAGGCTCTGAGTTTAAATCTCATTGACGTTATTTTAACCAACAACATATACATAATTCGAACTATATATACATAAAACTTCTAACACATGATATGTTTTAACTAGACGATACTTGTTATATATAGTCTGGCACATAGGCACCCCCCACTTAGGGGCGGCCCTGGGGTGTGCAAATGCCGCTACTGCACATGACCCCCAATTTTTGAAGGCCCTCGAAAATATTTTACTTGCATATTATATATATATATTATTATAAACATTTTATATATATTTCAGCACACAGCACATTGACACAAGCGTGTGTTTGGCTGGTTTGGTTTCAAGCGCATTTCTCTTCATTTAAGGCCTTTTCGGGTAGAAATAAAGTCCTTGGGTGTGCATTTTTATTATTTACAAACTACTTTTTTTTCTATATATACCCTCACGCTTTCACCTCCAATCAACACCAAAAGAAGGGAAAAAAAAAAAAGTAAATCATCATCATTCATCAATCTCTCTTTGGCTCTTTTGTTCAATCCTTTGAGAATTTTTGTTTTTATTTCAAATTTAGGAATTTCAACACCAAAACATGAATATCCCAATTCCTAAATTCATAAAGACCACTCAAAATTTGTGCCATTGTTGATGATGAATTTTCGTTATATAAAAATAATTGTTTTATGACATTAAGTTATGGAAAATTATTATTTTTACTATTTGCGTATTAAATTATGTGAGAGTCTCAGTTTAAATTTCGTATAAAGTCCTCAAAATCTCATAACCAACCATACCCCACCCAATTAAGCTTTGAGGCATTTCTATTTCTCATATATATCAATCGATCTCGTGATAACATTGACCCATAACCTTAGAGCTGTTGCTAATAGAAACCTTGACCTAGTTAATTTGGCAAGAAATACCCTCCATCATGAATTGTTGGTGATGATAATAAACCTCCTTTTCTAATGAAACTTTTCCATCATTTGTAAAAAAAATAGTATTATTATAATTTATAACAAGAACTCTTACCTACTACCATCCATCAGCTCGCACTAGTTGTCATTAATTAGTTTCAGCTAACCACTTGCTTAATTATGACTTAATTAACAATCTCAATGTACGTTGGATGCTCAAGGTGATTAATATTAGTTTAATGTGTTTTAATCACAAATCTATTTTTAACTAATTCATATTTTTATAACCTTTTCCTAACACAAAGATTTACTACAAATTTATAAATAAACCCAATCCTAGACATGTATTTATAAAAAAATCCAAGCACTATTTAAACATAAAAACACATACAAAATCAACCCCAAAGTCAACTTTTTGGGTGTGTTTATAAATGGGTTTTGAGTGTGTGTAATAATGAGTTTTGGGTGTGTTTATATGTTTAAATAGTGCTTGGATTTTTTTTTATAATTTCAACCCCCATTTTTGATGTTTTAGTGAAACTCCCAAGATTTAACTCCAATTGTTTTAGTTTGATGCTATCTACCATCGACGGGACAGTTAATTTTTAGCTAGAATTAAGCCAGATTATAAAGTGCGGATTAAGAATTTGTGTTAAAAAAGGATTTCTAGCAGTAATCAAGTAATTACTTTCAACGAATTTAGTGTTGAGTCATTTTTGACCCTGGGAACATGTTAAATTACAAAGAGAAATGATATGTGTGTGCTTGAGCGTTTTTGCACATGCATTTTAACACACAAAAAAGGTGATGGATTTGGAAAGGTTGAGAGAGGGAGAGTCTTTGCACCATCAAACCCACTTTGGCGTAAAGTTTTGGCCAAGCACTAATCATCCCAAGGGGAAAAACTTTCGGCTCGAGATTATTTTGATTGTTTTCTAATATTTTTCATACAGAGCGGGGAATCAAACTTAGATTTAGGATACAGGGATAAGAAAAATATTAAAAGATATCTCGAACTACAAGTCCCTTATTATTATTTTTAATATTAAAAGATATCTCGAATTCGATTTTCTCAATTTTTTTATTCATAAGAAAATGTATCGAGTACACACTAGAGTGGTTGAGGGGGTTTTCTTTGGTGGAGAAAGTAAATGGGGGATTTGGGATGAATTTTTTATTTATTAATTTCATATTTGGAAGTACAAAACAACCAAAAAAAAAAAAAATTTGACTCATTAATGCATGAATTAAGAAAACAATAAAAACACCAAGGACAGATGGATAATGTTAAACTAAAAGGAAATAAATTACACTATGGAAGTTGGGGGATCAATTAATTAGGTGGATCTTTGACTTCCATTATTCAATCATGATTGGAAAAACATAAAGGTTAAAAGTTCGTTGGACATAAATTACAAGTTGCATTGCAAGTGCAACTATTGTTGTTGGGTCACTGTAAAAAAGAAAATTTTAAAAATTAACAATTTTTTCATCCGCAACAGACTCCTTAAACCATCTACTTAGATAAAATTTTAAACATTCATTAAATACACATGGTTATTATACACAATATTTTTAAAAATGTTTAATCACGTATTATATATATATATCGTACTTAAATTAATTATAAAAGTATATGATTGTATTTGTTATGAAAATTTAATCATGTGTGTGACATAATATGTCACATGATTCTATCAAGTATTATAGATTAAGGGCCGGTCAGGAGTAAATTAACAAATATACAAGCTTGACCTCTTCTTCATGATTAATAACTGTACCAGAAGCTAAGTCTTGCAACAAGGTTTTATTACCTTATCGGGGAGCTTCAATTTACAAATTTTTGCAGTACCTACTCCGTCTTATATTTAATAATTTAAATTGTCTATTTTTCATGTATTTCCTCAAAAAAATCACTTCAAAAAATATTACTCTAATTCAAAATTATTTAACGACTTAATTAATAATTGTCATTTTAGTTTTTTCTTGAAATATCGTGTTCGTTTATTTTATGAATCATAATTTACATTACGGCTTCCAAATTATTTACTTGAAATGAATGGTTGAAATACAATATGAATGTAAAGTGAGCCCACAGATAATTATTTAAGGGATGCCTACATATAAAAGAAGTAGATGATACATCTGTGTCGTGGAAAGATTGTCCTCCACTTCCATGATGAACAGTGGACATCATCTTCACACGTGTGCCATACGCAGCTGTGTGTGTGTGAGAGACTGAGTCCAAAAGCAGGTGAGATGGAGATCGATATCTGTCTGTCTGGTTAATTTCATCTAGGCGCGTGTGATGCACTCTATTATTGTCAAATTTAATCAATTAAACTTAATTAAACATGTTATTTTTGTCTCTTACACATCAATTATTCTTTTCTTTTTTGGAAATCAGCATCATCAATTCTTCTTATATTCCCATGAAAGAACAATGTAACTGACTAATTATATATTTTAAGGCGGAACAAATACATCAATTCATTCATATTATTATATGAATTCTTAGTAATTATATTATGAATTATATGAGCAAGCGTGGTGGTTTTCCCGGGGAAAAAATGTAAGACAATTTATTGTCTTAGTCCATGAAAGATGATCTTCTAATCCTAAAAGGACTAGAGTATTTTGATTGATTAGGGAATAGAACTTAACCTTATGAGATAAACACTTGTACATAGCTTATTAAAGTATAACACAAGTCTTAATAGGATTTCTAATACAATATGGATTGAAACAAACCTAGTCTAACGCAAAAAGGACACTCAAAAGCTTTTTGATAGGCAAGGCTTTCGAGTGATGCATGTATAAATAGGGATCTCTTCTATTGCAGCAAATACACTCTCAATACAGATTCTCACTTTATCTGAGAGATAAGATAATATAAAGTGCTGCATAAGTAAAAAAGACTCTCTAAATACTCTCTACAATTACCAGGACTGAACAAAGTTAGTATTATTGTATAAAAACTGAGTACAGACTTACAAAAAAAATTCATTTTGGATTGAACAATATGCAAGAGGCGTAGGGCGTCGGCAAAGGTTATAGGAAAAAATATCCAAAGTTACAATTGCAAGTTGCAACGAACTGATCAGATTCAAGTACAAATTCGTCTCATATAAGTAAATGCAAATCTGTTCAGCACGCGCCCATGACAAGTGTGGGCATGATCTAAAGATTATTAATTAGGCTTTTGGTTATGATGTTGCTATCTCCCTTCCTCTCTCTTTACCAATTGCCATTCCACCTTGCCATTCCACCTTGCATCACCTCACAACACCACACCCTCTCTCTTCCTTTTTCCATAACCCAATAACACACACCTTTTTTCTTTACTCTCTCCAGGCTCCAAAACAAGCCCCAAACATCTCTCTCTCTCTTTCTGAACCAAGCCAGCTTTATCTCCTCTCCCGAATACAAAAGCAAACACTTTTGTCCCTTCCTTTCTCTCTCAAAAAAAATTATCAAGCACCTTCTCCATCTCCCTCTCTCTCTCCTACACAAACACCATGGCAGACAGAGTCTATCCTACAGCGAAACCGGCTACCGCGGGCCCCCCCCCCGCCGCCCAACCCGCCCCCT